GTAAAATGAGCGATTTCGATTTTTTTCATCCGATCGACAATAAAATCCGTACGCGCAGAATTATCAAACTTCAAAATGAAACGATTTTCCCTGTTAATGATAGGAACTTTCCGTTCCCGCGTACTCGCAAAACTTTCCCGGGAACGGGAGATGCGAGATGAAGAGTAATACGGCGCTGAAACTTTTCCCCTGTATTAACCACCATAAGATAATACTGTGTGTGGAGGAATTAAGAAAGCTTGCGGTTTTGTTTCGGGTCTGTTTGTTTTCAATTACGCGCCCGTCTTTTCTGAGAAGAATTGATTATTGAGGGGATTAGTTTGTGAAATATTAGCGTTTATTGAATAATGATACAGATAAATTATATTAAAATAAATAAGAACTAAAAGTATCAAATGTTTGATAAAGACACGGTGTTGTCGAAACAATTGTCATGTCATAATATATAATTTCATGAAAATCTGAACTTTTACTTCTTATTTATTTTGATAAATGGATTTTATTATATTTAATGGAGGTTTAAGGTTATTGTGTGTAGGCGTCTTGCCTTTTGCGACCAATACATCTATTCGGGCACACTTATTATCCTCCCCCATCAAGTTCAACCGTCGTATGAAGTCCGTTATTTTGTCGGGTTATGTTGTATATTCATGCAGGGTATATAATGATATTTGTTTTATAATAATTCAAGCGAGCTGAAAAACTTCGGAACCTATGTGCTGACCTGACTGACTACCATCCCTCTAACCCCTGTATAGTCCGTTCCCTTTATTGCACCCGACTACTATTTTCAGGTTCGTCTTGCCCATGCCTAATAGCGTTAATGTCTTCGAAATAGGAAATAAACTTCAGCTGTCTTTTTATTTACCTTCAGGACATAGTGTCCAGGTATCAATTTCAGGGGTTCTTGAACAGACAAGTATTTTGTTTTTAAGAAGCAAAAATGCTGCCTGAGGACCATTTACGGCATCCATCGTGAAATGCCCGTCTGCTACAAGCTGAAGGATGCGATTCGGACCAATATGAACCGCTGCTGTCTCTATTTCAAATTCATTCAAACGAAATACCCCTAATAGCTTTAAAAAAAATAAATTTAAGGGACAGACGTGAATAACATAAATGTAAGATTGAAAAGAGTCATTATTCTTCTTCATCGATCTGGTATTCTTCAGTTACGACTTGGTCAAACTATTCTCTTCAGAATGGAAGAATATATTGTTTTCCAAATAAACTAAAAAAATGGTTACTTTAGAAAATGTAAAAAATGTACATTTTTTGCTGTTTCTTTGCTTTACAGGGTCGAGTTTAGATTTTTTTTAATATTTAGGTAGGTATTTAATGAATAAATAAATTTTACTTTAAACCATATGGGAATACGTTTTCTGTTTTTGTAAGGACAAGTGGACAACACTAAATAATTTTTCTAGTGAAAATTACTTAAATAAAGTATATTATTATTATGATTGTTATTATTAATCCTGCTTTTCAAAATACTTTCTCATCATATTTTCTATATCATAAGCATCTTTTGATATTATATTTATAGGGGCAAATCCGGCACGTTTGTTCTTCCAGTCCTTCAGCATTTCCTTGAGATATATGTTAAACAAAATTGCTTTCACCGTGCTGGATAATCTTTTACCTATTTTTGTTCTTGTCTCTAAATCTGTGTACAATGTAAGGAACGGGAGTTACCTCTTCTTCAAAATAGTGCTTTTTTCCACAACCACCATGTTATAGAGGTGCGTGCTCACTCAACTTTCCTAAATGCTGATCCACAAGCTCAGTTGGAGGACGACTTCTGATACTCACTTGGTTAACGGCTGATCTAAGGACTCCAATTCCTCGGCAGCTGCTTTCTTTTCAAATTTCTACTCCTGACTCCTCTTTTAAGTACCAATCATGCTGGTAATATCAGTGATTGCCTTTGTGTCAGGTTAGTAGTGTAAATAAAGTTTAAATTGAGAATTCGAGTCGGAACACAATGCTAAAATTTTTGAGACAAAGGTCGAACAGTTGGTTGCCAATATCATTTAATTTGTAGAAACCAAAATCGGATAGGTCAATTATAAAATTCAATTCACTTGCCTTATTTTTTATTTCGCTGTTTACAGGCCTTGTTCCCAGTTCTGTTCCCAGTCCTGTATTTTGAATTTCGTTAAACTGTTAGATTGATGGGCTGACTGAATAAGATACAAACACTAACTTTTGTTTCTGCAGACCCAGTGTTCTTAAAGTAATAACCAAAAAACAGACCAAAACAATAATACATAGCGTATTTTAGTAATTAAGGGATATTGTCTAGATAGATACTGACTTCTAAATAATTTATCACAAAGCAACCTTAACAATAAGCTTGTATATCTAAACTACTAACTTGACGAGTTACCAGAAACTGAAATGATTTTTGTGTTGTATTATATGTTGTATATTGTATGTAGTGTATGATATTGTATATTGAATATAATTGTACATTGAAAAGCTTTCGGATTATGTGATTATTACTGTTCTTGGATAAACAACACCCTTTACTACTATTATAAGCAGTATTTGCAATCGCCCAAGTAGATGCCGGTAAGTAAATACACTTACCAATAAACCAATCATCAATTTGAAAATCTTCTTTTAAAATTAAAATGAGATGGGAAGAAAGGCGGTAGGGTTTTCGGGGTTCAAAGAATTGTACGATAACTTTTTTGGAATTTTCGTTGTTTTTTTTTTTAGTTAAAATCCTCAATATTTCGCATAATTAACCTGCGTTTACTTCTCAGCGGCTTTATCTAAAAAAATGCTAAAGCATCTAGAGCCTTCGAGTCTAATATTCGAAGGGATTACCATACTTTTCCGGTTTCCGTAAAAATAATAAAAGCATTATTCAGTTTGGAAGCGAACGATATGCGCATTTTTCCAACACAAATGCAGGAAACAAATCTGCAACGCCGAACATCTGGGACGTGGCCCGTGTTTCGGGATAATATTCCCCAACAACAAAATAGATATTCCGATATCCCTTTGTTAGAATTTTATTGACATAAGTAATAGCGCGTCCGCAGATCAGATTTCCTTTGTTGCGAGCGGGAAGTGTGTTTTGACTTTAAATCCCTTAACTTAATAATCTGCAATATTAGGAAGAAGGCTGTTCAAGTTGAAAAGAAAAATTATGTATTTGTCAATATTTTAGAAACTTTGATATTGTATAAAAAATCGGTTTTGTACATATCAATTCTGTATCCACTATGTATCCAAAATAATGACCGTTAACACATAAACAATTCTTTACCAGACATTTTGTATATCATTATTCGGGATAATTAACGCTTATCATCTTCAATCATGATCAAAGTTTATTAGTAACAATTGTCGGTATTCTCAGAAATAAGATGAAGATGAAGATAAGATCATGCCGAGTTTTTTATTTTATTTTTTAGAAATCTAAGAATAAAAAATTGGTTAGTTGGTTATGGTGTTAATAGGATTATTTATCTAGTATGGATTAGACAGTTGGCGAATGTAAAATTATTAAATAACTTGTTTTCTTAAATTTATTGCTATTATTTTTCCAAAGAAACTTCCTCGGGCTACTATAATATTTTTACAAAACTTCTGGAGTTCTCCTGCATTCCTCCTGTTAGCTTCTTCAGAGTTTTTGTAAAAAAGTATTATTGCTCTTTTGTTTATAATTTATAGATTATAAATCCTCAACAAGAACAAAGGGAAATTATGTCCAATTTTAATATGAACCGAATCTTTATAAGAAATTAGATAGAGATAACAACTATCCCTTTTTACATTTTGAATGTAAATAAAAATTTGTGTCGTTTTTGAAAATGAAATCACATTTATAGTCAAAAGCCCCGGTTTTGACACGTACCAAAAAAGAAGAAGAAACAATAGTCTATTTTTGCCAATCATAAGGTGCATCAAAAGACATCTCCTTTATTATGCTTTATAAAATCTATATTTCAGATTTTTGCCGAGTCCACCACTGGGCGTTGCACGAATCTTTCCTCAAAATTTGAAAATACTCAAAAGTTTAACGGAAATCCCAAATCTCTAGCTTCTCTAGACAAAGATATTTGCGGATTTATTTTGGGAATAAAGCATCATGCAGCTATCTCAGAATTATTATTATAATTATTACTTATTATTGAATATACATTTTCTAGCTATCTAATTTAATTTTTAGTTTATAAGTTGAAAATACTCTTCGCTTAACACTAAATTAGATGTCTACAGCAGAAACTGTCACAATGACTATCAGCTATTGAAAATTTGTGTTTTGTTTGAAACCTGGATCATGGCTTAAATAATTCTTTGGTGCCTCTGAATTTTGTTTGAAAAATCATATTGAGAAACATTATTCTTCTAAGTCTCTGGAATTTGTCATTTCTACGTACCCCTTGTGGGGCATGTTTTTGGCTTTCTCATAAAATTCAAGAGATGCGGAACCCACTGATAAATCATATCTGTCGTGGAGATCATACCATACCAGATATGGAACAACTAAGCATCGCTTAAGGTGGAGGGTCGTCAACACTTTAAGAAATTGATACTCCAAGAATAGATTCAACTTGCCTAAAATATTACATTTTGCGGAATTGGAATTACTGACATTCCAAGACATGTAAAGAGCAAAACTAATATCAGATTGCACTAGACAAAATATGAAATGAATTACTCGCGTAAAATATAATAATAATAATAATAATAATAATAATTAGCCTTCGAATATTTTAATTTCTGTTATTAATATCTATTAATAGCAGTTTGTTTTTTATTCAATTTTCAGTCATTATTCTCCACGGTTATCTCTAAAAAATCATTCTAGCGACGCAAATATAATGCATCCATATCGCCAAGTCTCGATATTATTTTCTCTTTTATCCGGCCCTAATTATATTATAGGCCAAAAAACGGTGTGTGATGGGACAGGCAATAAAAAATAAAATACATCCTCACTACTGCGTTACGAGATCTTATTGTTTACATCTACAGCTCACCTGTCAAACTTGCCGCCAACAGGGTCAACAACACGAGCATGTCTCGGCAATGCAATAAACTATCTAAAACAACTAACAGTTCTTAAATATATCTTAAATTTCTAATGGTTAAACTGCATAGCGTCGGAAACGCGACGTTTGGGAAAGCCCCCTTATCAGAGAGTGACTACTCTGTCAGCATGCTTCTGCATCACTTCGTACAGGCCGTTCGATGGGGTTTCGCGAGTCTCTTGACTGCCGCCGATACACTGCCAGCGTCGGGATGCTGAGCGTCGCGCGCTGCCGTCGTCGGGAGAAAGGGCGGCGCACGTTCTCCCCCCACCCCCATCCCTTGCCACCATCGAATTCAGGAACGGCGGTTCAAAGGGTAACGGTCCTTCTAATTTATTCATAAAAAATGTAAAAAATCAAACATTTATCTACCAACATCTTGCATTATTAGTAAAATTTCCAATTTGAATATCAAATACAGATGACAACATTAGATACTGCTTCTATAAAATGAAATGAGGACAAAAAACGGATGATTTTTTGAGTATCGCGTTAAATCAGAAGAGGAAAAGTACGCATACCACATTTTACGTCAGAACTAGAACTGGAATGTTATCTTTAGATAGATTAAGTGACATTCCTATTCTAGAGGAAAACCTGATCCACATTCACTGGGAGAACTGCCCCACTAAACTTTATAGGATCGGTCTAATGACGTCGATCATGCAACAATTTCTAAAATACTGGAACGCAAAAGATAACGGCAGCCAAAAATTATCTGACTATGTCCAGAAGAAGCTTACGTAGCAAACTTAAGGCGGAGTGCTCTGTTCAGGGGGAAGCGCAATGGACCTACTAGGGCCTATAGTACAGACTACTCCTCCCTCTGATGACAAAAGACTATTGTGATAAAAAACCTGAAACCAAAAATGCTTTTAAAATTTAAAAGTCTTGAGTAAAAGAAATCTAGACAATGCATACTCCATCGGTATAAATAGTATAAGCTTAGGGTGTTACTAGACTTAAAGCGACAATAAGAAAAATTTAATTTATAGTTGAAAGGTTTCCAAGTACAAAAAGCATCTAATTGGCTCCTTGATGCCAATGTTTTGATAATAGAAGCATTTCTCGAAAAATTATTATTCATAGATTGTTATCTAGAAGAATTTACTCTTGACCAAACAAAAGCAAAAAAGCTATTCCGATGGAAGGTGATTCTGAAACTGTTGTGCTTGCTACAAAAATCAACTAACAAAGTAGTTAAAGGTCTTGCTAATGTCATATATCATTGTGAGAACTATACTACGGAAATAGTCAACAATACTAGTGAAAATTGGTTCTTACAAGTAATCGCCCAAAACTCTTTTCATTTAAACAAGGGCCATCAAGGTGCAAGCACGTATATGCAGTTTGATAAATTTATTAGTTTTTGAACTATCTACAACAAAATTTTAAACCAATCGTAATGCGCTCTCCTGTATTCTCCCTCTCCTATTACTGTATTACTGTATCATAATTGCCATCTTCAAAAAATAGTAGTCTAATTAATTAAGAAGTTAACTCCAATTTTCTAGGCGATAGCAAATAAAACCAAAAAATAATATAAAGCTGCTATATAAGGAAAATAGAGCTTTTTTGCTGCTGTTTATATATATATTTTTTAATATTGACGGAGGGGCGTAGCACGCCACTGCATTTTACAATCACCTAGGGGCCGGAGGGGAGGTTTGATTAGGCCGGCAGGCGTTGAATTTTTACGGTATTTTGATGGTGTACGCCGTCCGGGAATTTTTTTCGACCCTAGCCCAGAGGTAGCGGGGCGGCGGCGGTGGGGATAATGAGTGGCGAGGGGCAAACGGAAGAGTTAGGAGGAGGCGGAGGCGCTGCGAGTTGAAGGGAGGTGGGGTCGGCTTTTGCAAATTTGTTTTGCAATACGAGAAACGTTTGCTTCGATTTTGATCGATACGCGCGTGTAGCTTCGTGCCTGGATGCATTTCGGTCATTGTCAACTATGCGTACTAAACAGCAAGTTCACGCCCAAATAAGTTGATAAAATCCGAATGCGTTTTGGTAGGCGGTCGGTTAAGCAAGTCTCGATCGGATCGGAGTGCCGCAGGGTTTAGTCCTTGGCCCATTCTTATTCATTCGTTTATAGGACATAACTCCATTAAATATAATAAGTACATAACAATGCAGTTTGACCAAGAAGTGGCTTTGCCAATGTTTTATGACTTGGTTGCCTGCATTCAGCGTGCATAAACAGTTTTTTTTTATTGCGATATTCAGTTTGATTGTGAGGTATTAGCAATGCGAGTTAATATTTTCAGGAAGATACCCTTAGAGAATACTTCAGCAAGATCAGCACAACAGCACATAAGTGGGTATTGGGTTGACAGCTTATGGGTTTTTGTTTTTTGTTTTAGATGGTCGTAAAAGAATCAACCGAAGTTGTGGAGACAGGCGTCGACTTCACGCATGGAAAGTGAGAGGGTAGTAGGTGGGGGTGCCATTATAGTTGGGAGCAGTCACTTCGAGTTTCTTTGAACGAAAAAATGAAATCTCACTACTGCATTAATAAAGTGTCCCGACTTGTGGCGTTGCCCTACCTTCAGCAACTGCAAGATCCTATAAAAATTTATTTCAATAAGTTTGTTTGTAAATGTCATCTGTTATTCAAATAACTATTGTTCCAGTAACTTCTGAAAATGTTATGTTACAATCTCTATGTTACATCTCTATTGGTGTAATTTTATGAACACTAACGAGTGACATACTACAACATACTAGTGATTATCCGTCAGATATCGTTAAAACATAAACATAAAAAGTAAGTTAACAAATGCTACGTTAAAGTTGGTAGGCACAAGATTGGAAATACAAAGAGAATATGTAATTAAATGGAAAGAAAGTGAAAATTATAAACAAACGGTACATAGTTATTTATTATATATAATCTTTTATTACATATTATGGTATTCGAGTCACGAGTGACTTAACCAAGCGTGTAGCATACTATATTTTTTCTACGACCATTTTTTTTTGTACATTTTTGCCAAACAACACGAATACATTCACCGAAATTACCGTCAAAATTGACAAACTTCAAAATATATCTTCGAAAATATCCCACCACAGTAGTGCGATAATATCTCGGAAATGTCCGAAGTAGCTCGAATCAGTGCGAAACGGAACTAACGTGGTAAAAGGACACTTGCCTAGCGCTACATCGGTGTATAAATGAGCATTTTAGAGAAGGCAGTAGAAAATAGTATTTCCCTACTCCCGTCTGTAAAATACCTAATTACCCACCGATCTAGCGTGCGGGAAGCGTCATTTTACCACGTCAGTTTCCTTTCCACTTCGGACATTTCCGGGATTTTACCGCACGGATTTGGGAACAATCGGATGTTTTCGGAGATGTTTCCCACGCTTTGAACTTTGACGTTGGTCAATTCCGACGGTCACGTCTGTGAATGTATTCGTGTTGTTTTACGAAAATGTACCCAAATACTCGTAGTCGTAGAAAAATTATAGTTCAGTAAATGCCGTTTACCGCACTAATTATGCCACAAGTGTGGTAAACGTTATTTGACTCACGATTTTTGGTTAATTTTTTAATTTGGTTAGTTTTTGGGTACATTTTCGCAAAACAACACGAATCCATCCACTGACATGGCCGTCAGAATTGACAAACATCAAAATTCAAGGCGTGGGAAATATCTCTGAAAACATCCGATTGCTCCCAAACCCGTGCGGTAAAATCGCGGAAATTTTCGAAGTGACTCGGATCCGTGGGAAACGAAACTGACGTGGTGTTTTAGGTATTTTACAGGCGGGAGTAGAAAAACACTTTAGCGGCATTTTGGCTAAAAGATCTCTCAAAAAGGGCGGTTCTATCTTTAGATACCGTCAAACTCAAACGGATAAATATTTAGGCGCGCCCGTTTAATTATCTTTATAGGCGAAGCGCACAATCTGAATGTCGGATCTTTGAGATAAATCCTATCAAAATCCCATTAAAACATTCAGAGATATGGTGGTTAATACGGATGCTGTAACAGAAGCGCAGAAATTAGTTCAGAATCTTTTGTAAACCACTTCCATCAATGTAAAGCATAAAAACAATAAATCACACAGCCTAAGTTTCATTTTTTGTCTCATAGAGTTCTCATGCAGATATAGGATTTTAAGTTTAGCATAATAAATTTAAACATGATGTGGGAATCCAAAATCCGAGTCGATCAATATGCTCAATACTAATTTAAACAATTAAAATCTTGTAGATAATACAGTAAATTTAATACAAAAATAAATGAGTCTTTTGTATAAAAAAATTAACAGATAAATATTTCTTCAAAGTATTTTTCTATGTAATTCACTTGATGGTTGGTTGGTCTCAAATCGCTTACCTCCAAACGTTTAAAAATCACACGGCGAAGAGTCTGGACTGTAAAGTCGACGATAGAGAGTTTTCCAGTTCATTTTCAACGGTTTTTGTTGAATTGCAGCTGCTGTGTGCGTCTTGGCCTTGTCGTGAAGGAGCAACACTCCGCTGGTGGAACAATCCCCACATGCAGACGTTCTTGTGCCATGGCTTGAAGGATTATTAATGATTTTCATTGTCATTTTTTGTCAAATATACGTCAAATTTTTGCCAGAATAACCGTCGTTAGGTGGTTTAAAACTAGTAGTTTTTAATAAACACACTTAAGCTTGATTCCATCCAAGACATCAGTAAGCAACCGCAAGTTCACGCCCATATAAGTTGATAGAATCCGAATGCGTTTTGGTACGCGGTAGAACATCGAGTTTTGGCTTTCACAGAGTTTTCTTCGCCTTTCTTTCTCCACTCCACCCATGCCTCGTCCAGATGCCAATTTACAGAAAACAACTTTTCTTTCTTTAAACTTGAGAAATGCGTACTCTTGCATCCTTTTGATCATCATTCAGCAACCTTGGAACGCAACGAACTGAAATGTGTGATCTGCAGGAGACCGCTATGGAACTTTCTCTCTCTCTCGGCACAGTTTACGATACTGTTCAAATGAAATTATCCCATCTCTAACAGTTTTTCATTTATCGCCAACAATTTACCCACAAAAAAGGAAATTTCTAGGATCGGTTATTTTTTTGCCCATAAACGAGACACCCTGTATATAAATCAATATATACATATATAATTCTGTATATAATTCAATAAATGTTCGAAATAGAGGTTATAGCCCTGGATCTCCCA